TCCCTTCTCTCCTTCCTTCCTTCTTCTATGAATTACTCATGCATCAATCCATACATTCAAGAAATGTGCCAGGCTTCTGTAGGCACATGAGGATAGGATAGTGAACAAAAAAGAAAAAAAAAACTCCCTGCCCTCATGGACCTTAACATTCTTTCTATTTTTATGGAGCTTACATCCTAATGAAGCAATGAGGGATTCACTTTGGATCTTTGGGACATCTTAAGAATGTGGTCATTAAGAAAAAGAGGTTGTGGCTCTGAGGAGTGGACACAGGAGACAACGATCCAGGATGGCCCCTAGATCTGAGTGACCGAAGAGGAAGGAGTGGCCATGGTGATGAAGGTTTGTCATCTTGGTAGTGTGCTGGTTGCCCTGAACAGACAGGGAAGTTGGGAGGGGAATCCCCTGGGGTTGGTGGGTTTTAGGGTGTGAGATGAACTACATCCAATTTTGGAGATGATGCCTCTGAAGAGATGGAAAGAAATCTAGGTGAAAGGTTTAACTCTCCAAGTAACAATTTAGGGAGCAAGTGAAACCAAACCCCTGGGCACGTGGGTGGCTTAGCTGGTTAAGCATCTGCCTTTGGCTCAGGTCATGATCCTGGAGTCCTGGGATGGAGCCCTGCATCCGGCTCCCTGCTCAGTGGGGAAACTGCTTCTCTCTTTCCTTCTGCCCCTCCCCCCCGCTAGTGTGCTCTCTCTCCATCCAGGCCATCTCTCTCTCTATCTCTCTCTCTCCCAAATAAATAAAATCTTAAAAAACAAAACAAAACAAATCCCCTCCATATCTACTATGAATCACTGTTACATCCTCTGAATAACATAAAACATCATAGTCTAAGCATCTGCCAAACTCCATTCAGAGTCTGCTTCTTCATAACATAATCTGATAATGACTCTTCAGTTCCTGAAACACAGTAGGCCCTAAGTAATATTTGCAAATGGTATTGGTTGACAGTGAGCAAAATTTCATCATCGAGGAAGGCAAAGAGAAAAGAAAAGTGCATTTGGAGTCAGAAAAGCCTCAAGTGAAAATCGTGCCCCCTTCCTCCCTCCTCTCCTAGTCATCAGACCATGATGAGTAAATTGTAAGCCGGTGTCTCAGACCCCTTCGCTGTGAAATGGACAATCAAATGCCCCTGCAAGATGCTATGAGAGCATTAGGTAAAATGCATGCAAACTTCCTGTCATCCAATAGGCACAAAAACTAAAGCACTGGTGATATGAGTGATGATTATTCTCTTCATGACATCTTCGAGTGTTGTCATGCTTCTCACATCTCACTTTTATCCACCTTCTCATTTCTCCCATTCCATCCAGGCCGTCCTGCTAGAAGCTGTCCTCTTGGTGTGGCCTCCTGCCAACCAGCTTTCCTAAAGCCCCCACCGGCCGCTAAGCTCCTCTGTACATGGCTGGCTGCTCCGTCAGTTCAAATCACCCCATTCAACTGACATCACCACAGCTTGCAAATTCCCAAATCCCTGTTAGGACTTTAGATTTGGTCGTGTTTACGCCTGGCCTACGAGTCGGACCGTCGTGTCCTTACGAGTCACACCCCACACCATGCCGTGTTTGAAACAGCTTCTCGGTCCAGCATTTAAAAATACCTCCGAGGGGTGCCTGGGTGGCTCAGTTGGTTAAGCAACTAACTGCCTTCCGCTCAGGTCATGATCCCAGAGTCCCAGGATCGAGGCCCACATGGGGCTCTCTGCTAGGTGGGGAGTCTACTTCTCCCTCTGACCCTCCCCCCTCTCGTGCTGCTCTCTCTCAGATGAATAAATAAAATCTTAAAAAAATTAAATAAATAAAATAAAAATACCTCCAAGCTAGGTTTTCACGGCACTCAAAAAAATAAATGGGAAAACCGAGAAAGCTAGGTCTCCATACTGCTGAGTGTCAAAGGTAACTAAGAACGTGGGGCACAGATAAAGCAGGATTAATGATCACACTCAAAGATGTTAGTTCAGGCATAATGATTTCCCACGCTGATGACCGCCGCCCATTGGCTGAGGCACTGGGCTAGGCACATGTATGTCTGAATGAAGTTAATTCTGTACGAAGTCTCACGCATTCTACATGAATGAGTAAGAGTGTTTTTGTAACGCTGTAGCTACGCTAGCTATGGCCGTTTCTAAGAGGAAGGACACCCTGGATACTCTGTGTGTGTGTGTGTTTGCACTGTATGGCCAGTGCTATGGATGGAAACTTTGTGTCCCACCCCACCCCCCAGCTCCAAATTCATATCTTGGAACCCTAATCTCCAATGCTTCCATATATGGAGATGGAGCCTTTGGGTGGTAATTAGGTTTAGATGAGGTGTTGACGGTAGAGCCCCCATTAGGGGATTCCTGTACTTATAAGAAAAGGAAGAGACTACAGTTAGCTCTGTCTCCGCCATCTGAGGACACAGCGAGAAGGTGGCTGTCTGCAAGCCAGAAAGCAGGTCCTTATCTGACATTGAATCTGCCAGCACCTTGATCTTGGACTTCCTGCCTCCAGAACTTTGGGAAATGAATGTCTGTTGGTTAACCCGCGCAGTGCACGGTATTTTGTTATAGCATCTGAGCTAAGACAGCAAGTGAACATACCACAGCCCTGCCTGACAATACAGACTGGGGACAAGTCAGAAAGGAGGAGGGATACCCCTGAGATGATGAGGAAGGCCAGAGTCCATCCCAGAGGAAGTCACCATAGCCCTGAGGAATTTGCTGTGGTCACCAACAGGGCACCCTGCCACACCACACCAGAGCCTTGCCCTCACTTTCCGCGGTGAGTTAGTCAGCAAGCATCCCCTGACAGCACCACTTCATTGCCCTGGGATCAGCACTTTGGGTGGGAGTAGGGTCCATCCTCTCTTCCTCCCTCCCTGTGGGGAGATGACTTTTTTTTTGTCTCATCCTAAAAATTCCAGGCACACTCACAATGGTGGCATTTGCCGGGCAGTGGCTTGAATAAAGAGCTCTCAGGGAACAAGATGGCAACGTGGAACACAAACTAGTCTGCCAGGGCATCAAGCCCCAGGAATGCTCCCTGGGAGCACCCCATGGCCCCCCAGCACAGGAGAGAAGAAAGGAAACGCACGGTAGGGGAGCTATGCAGCAAAGGTCCTGCAGCTTGACTTTGGCAGTACCTGAAGTGAGGTAAACAAAATATTGCCTAGACGAGGCTTGCACCAAGAAGCTAGGATAAACCCTTCAGTTGGTTCTACACTATTTTTCTTAAATGCCAGGTAACGTCCAGTACCACCCCCACAGCTCCCCCAACTCCAAAAAAAAAAAAAAAAAAGACAGAGGGAAGGATTTTACCTTTTTCTCTTAACTATTCACTCGATAGGGTGGTTTTGGAGTTAATCCATCCAGTACTCAATAGGTCTTCTAAATACTCAAAACAAACAAACAAAAAACAACCCAGGATTTTTAAATTGCTCCTTAATCACAATAAGGCTGGCTTGCCTTCCTCCCTTCATCTCCCTTTTGGGGGTAGCACTTACTAATGTTGCAACAATAGCCCTTGAGTTGAGTGATTTACTCTAGATGGGTTTTGGTGGTGGAGTCTGAACACTCCCTAATGCTCAAGACCAGAAGTTTTCTCTCTGTTTGTTCTGCGGATAGTTTTATCTCCTTCACTGGAAGACCAATTGCACGAATTCTTCTGGAAATGAGGCCAAAAGGACCTGTGACATTTCCCAGACAAGTCACCAGAATCCTGCAATGGGCCTCGCTGAACCAAAATGAACACATAAATCTATTTCCCCCCAAACATTCTGTCATTTGCGTTATATAATTGCCTTTCAGAATCAAACCGGGGTTTTAAAGCAACGCCTAATTAATTCTATAATTGGCACAGATTATACCTTTAATGACTTCCACTATAGCAGAAAAACCAGTGATCACTCGATTTGATTTTGAAACTACGGACGCTGGGCTTCCTCTTCCACCCAGAACTTTCAGATCGTGTTAAAAGTCGGGTGTGGTTCCACGGGGGCCGGGGGGGGGGCACTGAGAGGAGCCCAGAGGGAAGGATGGGAGGGAACTTTGCAAGAAAACCCTTCCCCGAGTGCGTTCATGATGCTGGAGACCCGAGTTCGGCAGCTCTCCGGGGTCTGCCGAAGTTTCTTGCTAATAGGAAGTCCTCACATTCGGAGCAAAACCAGGCTTTGCAGAGTCCTTAAGAAGGCAGGGGTGTTCTAGCATCTCCTCAGGCGAACCGCACAGAAGAAAGCTGAGGCCCGACTCGAACTTAGGTAAAACTTAAAACAGTGCGCGCGTGGCCCGGGGAGACTGGAGTCAGTCCCGTCTAACGGTTTCCGAACCGCTAGGAGCCCTCAACCCCGGAGGACAGCAGGGCTCAGTGACTCACTGCCTGTGACTCAGTGACCCCACCCCTCTCCCCCGGGCTTTCCCCGGCCGCCGCCTCGAAGCTCGCGCCGTCCAAAGCCACCGAGCCCGTTAGGTCCCTGAACAGGAACCCCCCCAAGACAAGAGGTTGAAAAGATTCGTGGGCCAGAGTGGGCGGTGCGCCAGGCTGCGCGGGGCCCCAGCTCTGCGCCGCCGACCGTGCACGCCCCCACCTCGCGCTCCAACCTCAGGCACTCTTTGTTTCTTTCTTCCGATCCTCTGGATCCCTGACTCCCCCCTCTTCCTGCTTCTTGCCCGCGGGTCTCCCCACCCACACGCCCCTGACCGACCACAGCCCCGCCTCCTCCCAGGACTCTTCGGCGCGGTGCCCGCGACCCCTCTGGTCCAGGCCTGGGCAGGGTCCCCCACCACCGCGCGACCCCGCCTTTTTTAGCACCCAGTGGGGAGCAGAGCTCAGACCATCATCAGGAAAAACCCCGAAAGTCCCAGCCCAACCAAAAAGTAACGGGACGGTGCCCAGTCCCGGGCTGCAGAGGAACCGGCAGGAAGGCTCGAGGGCGCCCCCGCTCCCCCCCCACCCCCACCCCCCGGTCTTCTTGTCGGTCCCCATTGGCTGGCGCGGTCTGCGGCTGGGATGGCAGTGGGAGGGGACCCTCTTTTCTAACGCCTTATAAAAACTGCGCCCTCCGAGGGGTCCGGTCCTCTGCCACTCTCGCTCCGGTATCCCCCGCGCCAGAGACGCAGCAGCACTCCCACCGCCCACACCCACCGCGCTCTCGCTCGCCTGTACTCCCCGAGCCGGTCCGTGCCGCCGCAGCCGCCCGGCCCACCGCCACCCTCTGCAGTCATGTCCGCCAGGTCCGTGTCCTCGTCCTCCTACCGCAGGATGTTCGGCGGCCCCGGCACCGGGAGCCGGCCGAGCTCCACACGGGGCTACGTGACCACGTCCACCCGCACCTACACCCTGGGCAGCGCGTTGCGCCCCAGCACCAGCCGCAGCCTCTATGCCTCGTCCCCCGGAGGCGCGTACGCCACGCGCTCCTCCGCCGTGCGCCTGCGAAGCAGTGTGCCCGGCGTGCGCCTGCTGCAGGACTCGGTGGACTTCTCGCTGGCCGACGCCATCAACACCGAGTTCAAGAACACCCGCACCAACGAGAAAGTGGAGCTGCAGGAGCTGAATGACCGCTTCGCCAACTACATCGACAAGGTGCGCTTCCTGGAGCAGCAGAACAAGATCCTGCTGGCCGAGCTCGAGCAGCTCAAGGGCCAGGGCAAGTCACGCCTGGGGGACCTCTACGAGGAGGAGATGCGGGAGCTGCGCCGGCAGGTGGACCAGCTCACCAACGACAAGGCCCGCGTCGAGGTGGAGCGCGACAACCTGGCCGAGGACATCATGCGGCTCCGCGAGAAGTAAGGCGGCGCCCATGCGGGGCTGCGGGAGGGGAGGGAGAGGGGAACAGGGCCCCCGCGAGAAGCTGCCACGCCCTTGATGTGGCTGGGGTGGTGGCTGCCTGGGGGACAGCGGGTGAGCGGGGTTGTGGGTGCGGCGGCGCAGCCCCGCCCTAAACCCAGACCTTGCAGTTAGCATTTCCCCTCCACCCCCACTGGTTGCCCCAAAACACCCCGCTTCAGGTTACAGATTTCTTAAAACTACCGCTCTGTCTGCAGCCGAAGGCCCTTATAAGCGATGAGCGCCATTTCCCCAAACTTTTAGAAAGTTTCCTGGCCGCTTCCGGCGGGCTTCCAGCGTGGGGCGGGAGGAGGGAAGAGAGGAGGGAAGTGGCGGAAGCGAGACAAAGGGATTGCGGAGGTTCCTCGGGGGCGGGGTGGCGGCGGTCGCCTTCCAGGTTCCGGTGGCGACCGTGATTGCTTTTGCACGCTGTCGCCGAGGACCCGCTAAAACGTGCGGAGGGCCGCAGTTCTAAAAGCCGCAGTGCTTGGCTGCCCGCGGAGGTGGCGCAGCAGCTTCTGTCGAGAGGCGCAGCGACGTGGTGGTTGGGTGTGGCCGCCCCGCCCCTGGCGGTTTCCCAGTTCCCGTTTGGTTAATGTGCGACTGTTTCAGGTTGCAAGAGGAGATGCTTCAGAGAGAGGAAGCCGAGAGCACCCTGCAGTCTTTCAGACAGGTTTGTAGATTCTGTTCCCGCTCGCAGCCACCGGACCCCACCCGATCGACCCGGAGCAATTCTCAAAGTTACGTAGCCCGTGTCTAGATAGTGCAAAACTTCACGTCTGTGCACAAAGCCCCCTAGTGGCAGAAAGAGCACAGATTGGAGCTTCTCCCAATGAAAACCCTTGAATGAGTGAAGCTGTTCCTTAGGACAGAAAGAAAGTCTTTAACTTTTTACTTTGTTTCGAGATTTTTTTCCAAAGAAATTTTTTTTTTCCGTTTCGTTTTTGCAACACATTGACATTCTGATTCTGAACAGTTACAGTTTGATGTAGATTAAGGCTTACTAAAGTCAAGTTGGCTAACTTTTACAAGGCCATGAAAAGCACAGTTATACCCTGTAGTTTGAAATGTAAACGTGTTGGAGGATAAGAAACTTAGTTTAACTGGACTTACGCCAGCAAGTTTCTTTTCTTCCCTGCAAGTTTCATTGTGGCATTAAAGTTATATGGAAGTATCACTAGGCACAACTATTTTGTGATCTAATAAGAGTGAAAAGGAGCCATCTGTCCCCTGGGCTGAAAGTATTAATGGTTTCTACGGGCTTCACGATGGAATGTAGATACAGACATTCTGGCAAGTGTGGTGGCTCTGGACAGAAATAATAGGAGTCTTTGTGTTCCCAGAGAAGCTTTGCAACAGGCTGCATTCTTATTGAATATGTAATGATGTAAGCGCAGTTCTAATTGGACACACGTATTGGCTAACATCCGTTATCTAGTATCTGGTCCAGACTTGTGAAGTATCTGATGGGAAAAGTTCTTAAAGCTACAATCATACCTCACATTTTGGAAGGCCTTTCTTTATTTGGTTTCTTTATTCTCTAGCACTTTCTCCTTAAATGAAGAACAAACCTAGGGCCCAAGAATGGATTTTTTAAGTAAAGGACTTTTTGCTCCAAAGCTAGATAGACTTCAAGGATTTTTAGTTTGAAATTGGAATTCAAAAGCAGGAAGAGCCGCTAGCATAGTTTTATTCTCCTGAACACTTACTGGGATGGCTATCTAAGCTCTCAGATGAATAGTCTAGAATAACATTTTGAAGCAGAAATACATTTACCAAATTAAGTTAAGCACTGCAGTGTGTGGCCCATTTTAGTAACTGAGCATTTGTAATCATCATATCTGTAATGTTTTCTGCAGTGTAGTGAGTTAATATAAAATAAGATTAATATGAATGATCTCCTCTTTAGGGATTCAGTAAAATCCCTCATATTTTCTTCAAGGAAGTAGAAATGTCACAATGTCACGTAATTATCTTCCGCATCTTTTTTTAGGGCTTAACAAGCAAAGTGAATTTTTCCCAAGCCAGGTTTTTTTTTTTTTTTAATTATCACTCATTCCTCATTCACATTTCCATGAAGGTGAGAGAGGTCGCTCAACATTTTAAGACTTCAGTGCTATAAAGTGTATTCCACATACAATTACTGACAAGATAAGAGGTATAAAAATTCTTACAACATTTCCTTGAGGGGAAATAAAATCTTTGGGACATAGCAATTTGCAAGTGATGGAAACACAGGAGAGCCTGAGCAGCAAGGATTCTGCATATAGTTTCATTACATGCATTTTGACCAGTCATTCTGAAACAAGCTAAGTAACTGAATTTACAAAGTGCTAAGTGAAAAGGATGGACACACGTTTGCAGGATGCAATGGGAGTTTTTTGTTTGTTTTTTTTTAAAGATTTTATTTATTTATTTATTAGAGAGCGAGCGAGCGAGAAATAGCATGAGAGAGGAGAGGGTCAGAGGGAGAAGCAGGCTCCCCGCTGAGCCGGGAGCCCGATGTGGGACTCGATCCCAGGACCCTGGGATCATGACCTGAGCCGAAGGC